TATTAAAAATATTAAAATATTAATACTTAAAATATTTTAATTTTAAATTAAAATTTATTACTATTACTAAAATTTGGTAATATTATTTTATTTAATTAATTCAGACATTAAACAAATGTGAGAAATGATATCTTAAATATTGTTTTTTTTTTAAATTCTGAATTTGAAATGTATGCACGAAGAGGACGCATTCATAGTATTTCAAGATATCCAATGAATTAACAACTTAAGTTTTATCAAATAGTGATTTTATAGATTTATTCAATTCCTATAGGGTATTTATATTTAGAGAGCAGTATAATTTCTGCATATTCCGCGTATTCGTTTTCTATAGGCATTTTTTATTCAAATGCCTCGTTGCCGAATACGCTAGATTAAATTGGCAGGTTAATTAACCTGCTTTTGGAAATACATGCAAAAGCAGGTCAGTCTCCTGACCTACATTTTCTTTTTTAATTAAAATTTATAATAATTACTCATACAAATTTTTTTTTATGTTTAACTTATACTTGAAGTTTATACATGAATTGCGCATATATTTAAGGGATATGTATTCTATCGAGAGACATAATTGTAGCAATCAAAGCAAACTATGAGGAAAATTACAATATTATATCATAAAATCTTATTGATTTCTGGATATGTTTAGTCTTACATAGCCTTTTGGTATATGCGACTATAAATAAAAAAAAATGGCATATAGTTTGAGATACGCGTCTAACATTGGCACTGTTCTCTTCTTTGTATGTTCGCCCATGGGCTGCGCACGCGCACATATATCCTTGTTTGCCGCTTACTTCTTGTGTTGCCTGCGCCCTTGCTTCTTTCCGACTCTACTGCTGCGAAAAACTTGATACTTGGAAAACGCTAATTGAAAATAAATAAATAAAAAACAAAAAAAAAACAAAAAAAAAACGAACGATCTTCCTACGACTCTTTGAAACGAAACGAAATCGGAACTGTGAAACAATTGGCGATACCATTGCATGCATGTGTTATTGCGAAAAATCGAATATAACATATAAACACTTGCCGAAATTGGATACACCGAATAAATTGGTCGTTTTTATGTCGCCTTCTTTTTTTTTTTAGATATTTTCACTGTCCGAAGACTCGGAAACTCCGGATGGTAAGAAGAAGGGCCAAAAGAAGGCGAAGAAATCCAACAAGTCCAAAGCGAATCAAAGGAAAAATAGCAAGAAATCGAATACTCCTCAGACCGGCAATGATCTTTCCGCAAAAATTTTTGCGACTATGGAAAAGCACAAGGAAGTATTCTTTGTAATAAGGTTGCATAGTGCTCAAAGTGCGGCTAGTTTAGCAGTAAGTTTGTCTCTATTATATTTTATGATTCAAAAGTTTATTACATGTGATTATTAATCTTTTACCTAAATATCTTTAGCCGATCCAAGATCCTGATCCCGTTATCAACTGCGATTTGATGGACGGTCGTGATGCATTTTTGACAATGGCGAGAGAGAGGCATTACGAATTTTCATCGCTGAGAAGAGCGAAGTTCAGTTCGATGTCCATGTTGTATGAGTTACATAATCAAGGCCAAGACAAGTTCGTTTACACTTGTAATAATTGCAAGAGTCATGTGGAGACCAGATACCATTGTACAGTTTGTGACGTACGTAGTAGATTGAATATATATATTTTGGATAAAAATATACTCTTACACATAGACACTTTTATTTAAACTTTCATATGCGTACTATATCTCTATTTTACTATAACTTTATTTAATTACAGGATTTCGATTTATGTGTGAGTTGTAAAGATAAAGATGGTCATCCGCATCCCATGGAGAAACTTGGCTTTGATTTGGATGACGGATCATCACCGGCCGATGCCAAACAAACAAATCCACAAGTAATTTACGAGTTTATTCTACAAATATGTTATTATTACAATAAATCTGTTACTTTCATATATTTTCTTTTTTTCATAATTTAGGAAGCCCGGAAACTGTCGATACAGAGGTGCATTCAATCATTGGTGCATGCCTGCCAGTGCAGAGATGCCAATTGCCGTCTGCCGAGTTGCTGTAAGATGAAGCGAGTGGTAATGCACACAAAGAACTGCAAGAGAAAGACGAACGGCGGTTGCCCGATTTGCAAGCAGCTGATCGCGCTGTGTTGTTATCATGCGAAACACTGCCAAGAGACCAAGTGTCTTGTTCCATTCTGCTCCAACATTAAACACAAGATAAAGCAGCAGCAGCTGCAACAACGATTACAACAAGCGCAACTACTCAGGTCAGTAAAATCTTTGTACATTACGATTCTAATGCGACATTAAGATATTTTTGGTAAATTATGTGATTTGGATATCATATTGAAAAATTACTGACAATGATAAGCTTAGTAAACAATACTAAATAAAATGGAAGTAATAATTTGATATATTTATATCTATCAAGCTTTTATTTATTGAAAATTTTCACAGTAAAAAAATTTTTATTTATGCAGGAGACGAATGGCTGTGATGAATACGA